CACACAAAATCTCACATAAGACTATTGAAAAATAAATAGAAAATAAAAATTGAAGAGGGAAATATGTTACATAATGCAAACCAACCATGATTACGTGTGAATCCCCTAGGTATAACATTAACCAACCGTCTTCTCAATAAACAAATAGAACGTAGTACACGTGCTCGTTTTGACCGCAAACGTAACAAACACGAAGTATAATCTGTGAGAAAAGAGGAACTACGTAATTCACCATCATCAAATCATAATCAAATAATGACAACGACAACTTTTATAAAACTGATAACTACCAATATTTAGAGGCACACGACGTTGAATTGCACGTCCCAAACGCCTATTCATAAGTATACCACGCTGCTTGCGATGGAATTGAGCCAACAGTAGATCCATTCGGTGAAGTTGAACATTTAACCTATCAATCCCTGCGAAGGAAAACGTTGTGTACGATAACAAATAACATACACCACAACGATATTTTTAGAAGTATTAGAAAACACAAATAACGGATAATTACGTTGATTAAGACGGGCTCTTTCAGCCACAATTTGTTGTTGTGGAGGATGTTTAGGTGGCCTGCAAATAGCCCTCCTCAACCCTGCAAATCAAATGATTGTGACTACCAATATATAACTTCCTCCCCTCCAAACAGCATACAAAGAATCAAATTCATATATGTCATCATCTCAATACTAACATTGACCCCTATTATGCTGATGTCGTTTTATTGTCAAGGAAGGATCAGGAGCATCCTGCTGAAGTCGAGCATCTTGCTGAAGTCGATTTATTGCTGAAGAAGAACCAGGAGTATCTTCAATACGAACCATAGATGGACAAACCGGACGACGACAACGATGAACACTGGAAAAACAAAAACCTGATGCGGTATTAACCTCAACACTGACCTCATATATTCCAAAAGGTCGGACACTAAGTTCATATATTCCAAAAACCTTATTCTGTTCTTACATTTGCTAATTCTAGATAACAAACCCAAGGACGACAACCACCGGACGACGGATACTGTAAAACCAAAAACTTGAAAAGCTATTAGCCTCGACACTCATTCCAAAAACCTGATACAGAATTAACCTTTTCCAATTCTACGTAGGGAACGCAATTATGGGCCAAGTCCAGCAATTATAATTTACCTTCTATATTATTAGCCCATTTCACTTCATTAATCGGCCAGAAAGCCCAAAATTGTTAATCAACCCACCAACTAACTTGTAACCAATTCCCGCAATTAGCCACCAATTAATGCCAGCCCAAAACGGAGCACTTCATTAAGCGGCCAGGAGAATGAAATGACAATAATGCCCCGCCGTGAAGCTCTCAGAAGCCTCCAATTTTGAATCCCTGCAAAAGTAACCCATGAATCTGCTTCATAAATTATATAGATAGAGGGAAATCAATTTATAGTTGATTTCAACACTTTATTTTTATATAATGAGCATTATTTTTACATAGTTAGTGATAATTAATGAATACGAACATTTCGATATAATTTTTTTCTAATTTGGACATAATTTTTTCATCACTAATTAACGTCATTAATGACAAAATCGTAATAATTTACACAAGAAAGTTGTTACGTTGAATATAAACATAATTAAGAAGAAATAAAAGCAAACAAATAAACACAAAACCCTAAAAACAAACACCAAACCATTAAAATAATAATAAAAAACAAATTGACGTGGCCCCCACCCCTTCCCCTTCCCCCACCTTTTGTCTTCTTCTGGTGGATTTTCCCACCCAAAATTCCTCATTTCTCCACTTTTTCCCTTTTTCCCACCCACATTGTGAGCTATTTCTCTTCTTTTCCCCTTAAACCACACCACATTGTGGTGAGTCTTAGTAAACTAACCCATTCCAAAATAACAGTATAACAAACTCCTCCAGCCCTAAGATTGATTTGATCTTTCTCGAGCCACCAAAATCAAAGTAACATTATTGAAGTAGCACCCCTTATAAAACCATGTAATGATCGATCTTGCAATTTCAATATAGGCCTGAACATTACTCTGACACACTTCAAAATGCGCTGCAAAATCCAAATTGATATTTGTTTCAGCAAATACTCAAAAAAATTTAAATATACTTCTCTCAAAATTGCAGCAAAAAATTACTTTTGATAAACAACAGGAGGAGTAAACCAACTTAATCGATCCTAAAATTTAGGATCATTATAAGTTGGAGGATAATCTTTGTAATTAGAGATAACACCAAACAAAAATTGTGATACTCACATATAAAATGAAATCAGTCCACGAGATTGAAGTCATTCTCGTTCTCATATCACTTTTCAATTCATGAACTTGAATCCATCATTTATAATAATTTTATTTAACTGTTAATGATATTGGGGTAAAATACCTTGGGTGCTACTTAAGTTTGAGAATTGGGGTAGACATACCACTTAAGTTTGAATAGGGCGTCGGGTACCACTAAATTCTATTATATGTGCACCCGACACCACTTAAGTTTACTACTAAGTGCATTCCGTTAAAGTTGACATAATATTTTAGGAATATTCCATTTTCTTAATTTCATAATTGGTCCTTCTACTTTTCTTGTTGTAAAAAAATCATTTGGACTTATGAAAAACATCATTTTTTATTGTTTAGTTAGAATCCTCTTTTGAATACTTGATACAAAATCAATTTTTGAATAGAAAATTTAGAATCAATTTAATTATAATTATTTTCAATTATTATTATGTGTTATAATAATTGAATTATTCCATGAATGTTGTAACTAAATAATATTGTAGCTTTTATAGTCATATTTTCTTTTCTACATTTTTTACTGAATGTAGTAGCTTTTATATTTTATTTATTATTTGGTTACTTTCCATCTCTTTTTTTTTCAATTAGTGGGATATGTTTAATTCTTTTTTATTATGTTCCATTTATCCTTCTTTGATTTTGATATATTAATGATCGATTAGGTTCTATTTTAACTATTTCTAATGGTGCTTCTAATTGAATTATGGGGTTTAAATAGATACTCTAATATTAATTTTAAATATTTATTATTATATTATAGTATATGTATTATTCTTCTTGATATTCATTTATTAATTTTACTAATTATCTATTTTATTAACAAATTTTGATTAGTCATTCTAGTAATAATATGTTTAAAAGGTTTTCTAATTATTATATTAGATAAAACTTGTTGAAATATAGTTTTGATGTTTATCAAAGTTTTGGGTATCAAAAAGTAATTAAGAGTTTGGGTTAGATGGAAAAGTAGACGGATGCACATTTTGGCGACATTAATGGTACCTGACGCCCGGAATGCGTTAGGGTAGTAACTAAAATTCTAGTAGCCACCGTGGCTGAATCATTATCTGTCGTCCATTTTTATTTTTATTTTTTCATTTTTTTAATCTCATGGTTAAGATTACGTCAGGGTAATTTTGGAAACGAAAAAGCGTCCACACCCGATTATTCTATATATTCTACCCAACCCTACTTCTACACTCCCCTCCCTCCAACCAAACCCTACTTCTGACGACTGTCGACTGCCGGCTGCCCGCCCTCCATCCCTCTCCCCTCCGGCCACCTCCCTTCGCCGGCCATCCCTCCCGATCCCCTCTTTCTCTCTCTTCCCATATGTTCTTCCTCCGCAGTAGAACCTCCCCACTAATATATACCTAAAATATAATCAGGTAAATGCCACATTTGGTCATTGAAATTACTAAATCATGTCATGTTTAGTCACTAGAAAAAATTAATATAAATTTTGGTCACTCGAATTACTGAAACATGTCACATTTAGTCACTCTCCAGTTAGCCTTCGTCCAACTCCGGTCACTCGAATTACTGGAACATGTCACATTTAGTCACTCTCCGTTAGCCTCCGTCCAACTCCATTACTCGAATGATTGAAACATGTCACATTTAGTCTCTCTCCGTTAGCCTCCGTCCAACTCCGTTAATGGAGTTGGACGAAAACTAACGGGAGAGTGACTAAATGTGACATGTTTCAGTAATTCGAGTGACCAAAACTGTTATTAATTTTTTCTAGTGACTAAACATAACACGATTTAGTAATCCTAGTGACCAAATATGGCATTTACCCAAATATAATCCCTTCTCTCTCTCCTTCTGTTCTTCTTCAGCAAAAATGACGAATGGGACAAAGACTTTTTTTTTGGGGAAGAACCGAACAACTAATTTTTAATTGGTATGTACTTTCTCGCATTGGTAGTATTTTTTCCCGTAATGGTAGTGTTTTTTCGCATTGGTATTGTTTTTTCCGCATTGGTATTGATTATCATGTAAGGTTATCTCAGTTTTGTGAAATGGTAGTGATTTTTTCGTAGTGATAGTGTTTATTCACATTGATATTGTTTTTTTCGTATTGGTATTGATTCAAATGTATTGCTCTATGGTCGAATCTGCAATGCTATTGGTGTTTTGTGAAATGATAGTGATTTTATTTCTCGAATGGTATTTGTGTTTTGTGCAATGGTAGCATTTTTTAATGGATTGGTATTAATTTATTGTTTTATTGTAGTAGTATTATTTTTTTGGGTATTGATGTTATTGTATTGGTAGTGATATTCATGTATTGTTATTAGTTAAATCTGCAATGATATTGGTTAATCACAGTTATCATGTTGTGGTAGTGGTAGTTTTTTTTTTATGTTTTGGTATTGATTTCTTGATTTTATCTATAATGATATAAGTGTTTTTCGAATGGTAGTGATTTTTTTTTTTTTGCAGAAAGATGGAGAAAAATAAGAAAGGAGATCTGGCCGGAGATTATGGAAGTGAGAGAAAGAGAGATAATTGTAATTAATAGATTTTTGCAACCGTCAAAAATGTAATTTATTAAAAAAGTTAATTAATAATTCCTCCTCAACGCCCTATTCTAACTTAAGTATGACTACCTCAATTCTCAAACATAAATGACACCCAATGTATTTTACCCGGAAATGGGAAAGTAATGCAACTAATCTAATTAGTGAAGTTACATCCGTTTTTGGGAATAATTTTCAAGCATAAAACTCCCCCACTCCCAGTCTCCCACTCTCTGTCGTACTACAAGCACTCAACCACAACTACAGTCTACAGTCCAGTCCATCTCTCTCTCTAGTTCTCTTTCCTCTCTCTCTCTCTCTCTCTCTCTCTCTGGATCTCCGACGAAAATCTAGGGAAATATTCTCAACAGATCGTTAGATTCGAGCCTGCGGTTCCTGCTCTCCTGCAACCCACAGCTCATTGGGAAAAATCCTTCGTATCGTACGTTTTCCCCGTTTCCAGATAGATCGTTGATTGCTTTATCAACTCTCCGCTATCCGTTTTCAGTTACGCTTTCGATTAGACTTATTTTCTTGCATAACTATGATTGCCTTTTTGCTTTGGTTTCGGTGATTCATCACTGCGAGAGCTTCTTTTGATCGTTAATCGCTTCTCTGCTTGCTTTTTTCTTTCTTTGGCTGATTATGGCTAGTTTGTTTGTCTGGTTGGTGGCTGTGGTTTAGGTATAAGAAGCAGCATGCCGTGGACATCTTCTTTTGTGAATTACAGCAGGAACTGCGTTCGCTTGGTGGTCTTTTTCCGGGTGATTCTGTAATTTTGCGTTTCGGCTTTGCTAGTAAGTTCCCTCGTAATACTCCTTTGGATATGCAGGTTTTCACTTATGTTTTTGCCTATATTATAGTGTTTGTTTATTTTGGAGTAATGGATGCTCCAGTATGATTTGGTGGGCTTGATTATGAGATTGGGTGTTTGCTTCCTTGCTATCTTCATGATGTTATATATAACTTGTTTTTGTTGTTAATCAATCATCACTTTTCGCTTGCTGCTGCAGGTAGTTTTGGTTGATTTCAAGCGCGCTTAGAATACATAAGTGGGTTCTAGAGTGATAATGTACTTGGGGGTTAAACAACTTCGTGCAGTGAAGCAGGCTGGGAAGACTAAGATGAGTGCTAGGGTTGCTGGATATTACCAAGTGATGCAAATATGTCAGGTACAACCATAGTGCTCCATTGGATCAAAGTTTGGCTCTTTGCTCTGTTATTCACTTGGCGTATGCTTCGTACTAATTTTGGCCTGTAAACTGATGAAAGTATATAAACTTCTTATTCTTTTGGTGGTTATATTGATCTCCTGAGAGGTAGATTGCTGCTAGCTTATTTATGCCTTGTTATTCTCCCAAACCATTACCCATGATTCCTCTACTTTTGCTCTATTCCTATGGTGATGCAGGCTGAATATTTCCGTCAGTTGTTGAAACCTGTGACGTAGTATAGAAGAGCAGAGACTCCGGTGTTAAATTTGGATTTTAGGGACAAATCTCCTTCTGGTAGTGTTCATATATAAAAGGACGGTGTTGGAGATAATAGGAGTTCGATGATGGTGGTTTTCATCTGCAATAGACAGCTGTCCTAAAGCCAAAGAGGTTGATAGCGTGATTAACTATTTTCGTCCATTTCGTCAGTTTAGTAGTGTTCATCACTTGCAAATTCAAATAATTGCCTGCCTATAGAGCATACAAACGATCCATTCTTGCTGCTCAAGAAAGGGTTTCTGATGCATAGAGACCAAAGATTCAACCCGAAGGCAGTGCCTCCATTTGCTAATCAAGGGGGTGACAACTACATGCATCTCCCAGTTTCATCTTCCTTTCCTGGGAACTTATTTCCAGCTGCAGATGACTTGTTGCCTATCTACGGTGTTCAATTTCAGCCATCTGAGGTCTGCCCAAGGAATTTCGTGATTGTTGATCAAACTGATCATCACAGTCAAATAATGTTCAACCCTGCAATTGGCTACAAATTCTCTGCTCCCAACTTCAATGCCCCTTCAAGTTTCATCCACGAGAGCTTTATGGGGAAAGAAGATGCCCTTGATATTAAGGAGTTGTCATCCTGGAAGGAAGATTCTCATGATATTGATGCGCTGTTAAGCTTGGATGAGGAGGACGATGGTGATGATGAAAGCGATGAAGATGAGGTCAGCACTGCGAGGACGTATGGGAGCAGCTCCCCTGGTTCGTGTAGCAACTACGACCATCACTACAACTCCAGGAGCAATGTTTGTTCATCCGTTCAAAAGTCTTTTGGTGGGGGCAGCAGCAGCAACAGCAGCGAGAAGAAACAGTTAAAGATGAAGAGGATGGTGAAGGCACTGAAGGGAATCGTTCCTGGTGGGGAGCAAATGAATACCGTCACCATTATTGACGAAGCAGTCAAGTACCTCAAAACGCTCAAGGTTGAAGCCCAGAAGCTTGGAGTGGGGAAATTGAAAGACTACTACGAATAACGTAGCCCTCTCGATTGAAAGACTAATACAGGTAATGTCGTCAGTCAGTCACTCCTCTTGCCTTCCTTTAGGCAGGTGTGGCATTAGCAGCAGAATAATGACAGCACTCTTACCTTGGGGCTTTTGTGTTGGTTTGCAGCACTCCGCTTTTATAAACGTGTAGTTTGGTATCGTTAAGTGATGATGATCCCGATGGTCAGTCTCTGAGATGATTTCTGTAAACTATGTTTTATGTACTCCCATATTGATCACGAAGACTGTGGATGGCCATCCACAGGGAACTTCTCTATTCAGCTTTGTCTATCTCTCTTAAGTTTGTTACAGACTCGCTTGTATTGTATTAACTTCTAAACTCACTATTATATAATGTTTAGTATTTGACTGTTTATTTTCAATCTTTATGGTTACCGGCTTCACCTTGGTCCTGGACTCTGATTTCTCCTTCTAGTTAACATATAATGCTCGTCTTCTCCACATTACCCTCAGAATCTCGGCATGTATACAGTAAATTGTTGTCGCCCGCATCATGTGGTTGGGAGGTTTAGAGACATGGGGATCACAAATGTGCAGTTGCTAAATGGTTCTCCCTCCTTTTAAATTTGTCATTGGAGTGCCTACTATCCCTCTATATTGAAAAGCTGTGTGGTGGTGTTAGTGGAGCACCAGAATGATGCATATGTACACACAGTATCTTTTGTCTATGTGTTGGGCTAAAAGCACTCTTTTATGAAGTGGCTTAAGTGGGTTGTCCATCACTTTAATGTTGGCTTTCTCAAATCTGTGTCACTTTCTTTCCCTGGTCTTCTTGTGTACTTGTTCAAGTAAAATGCTGCTATCCCATCCTTGTTTGTCTTTCCTTATGTGGTGGAATGAGATTAGGACATGGGGAGGGAGATCACTCACTGTCATGCATGCATGGATTTTGGCTCTTTTCTCTTCCTCTCTGCATTTTCTGAAGTGCAGTGAAAGGGCCCAATGGCCGGTGGTGCAAGTGGCGCACCACTTTTTTTGCCAATTGTGCATTTCTCAGCACCACCACCCCTTTTTTGGGTCCCTATTGGAGGCTGAAACTTGGTCACGTTGGGGATGTCCACTGTCATGAAGTTGATTCAGTAGGTGCGCTCTGGTTTTGGTGCTTTATAGTAGTGACCCAACTTGGGGTTTCCACTTTTTTTTCCGTTAGTGTTGGATGGGTCAATCAGGTCGTTTACAATTTCTTTTGCAGGTTTGTTGGGTCAATTTGGTGGTTTCTTTAATTGTGCAGACAAAAAAGTATGGTTCTATGATGGCTGTAGTTACCCCATACACAGTGCTATTGGACTCTTGGCTGGAAGGTTCTGCGCTTCTGCTGTGGGCAATAGTTCTTGTTGCTTCTCTGAGGTCAGCTCTTCAATTCCTCCTCATTAGGTATTTCAGCAATTGGCACTGGTCAAAGTACTATTTTTCATCACTATGACTTTGTGACGATGTGAATGGATTGATGGTTTGATATTTTTTGGTTTCGAATTGGATTAAATCGGTGTTTATAAGTACGAATATGCTGAAAAACTTAACTAGCGCATTCGATTGATCGATCAAAGAGGGGCTTAAGTGAAAGGACTTCTGCACGAACCCAGAATGCTGCTATTGAGGGAGCCTATATTGCTGTTACACTACTACCTTGATTCTCGACAGTCAAAAACCAGAGCTTTAAGTGACGGGGTTCTTCTCTGCAGGAAGACATCATCTAATGATTCTGATCTTGTTTTGCTTACAGGAGTGTGTAACTGAGAAAACCCTTCCATTCATTTGCTTGGACCAGGAAAGACCCAATCCGCCGGAACACAACTTCCCTAACTATGCTCTAAACTAAATTCAAAATCTGGCTCTGCTTCCTGGCAACTAAAAACCCTCCTCCTCAGTGAAACGCCACCTGAGCAGGGAACGTAACGCCACCGCTGTCTCCGACAACGATGGTGTGTGTCCCCGACGGCAGAACTTTGTAAGCAGCCTCATCGACGATCCCCAAGCCGTCGCAGCCATTCACCGCAAACTTCACCTTCTTGCTCCCTCCAGCTCTCACAAACACCCTCCGGAACCCAATCACCTGCTTCGAATGGGCTCCCGCTATCCCTTCCGGCGGTCTCGAGTAAACCAAGACTGCTTCGCTCCCGTCTCTGTCCCCGACGTTCTTCACTGCAACCTCGAACTTCAGCTTCTCTTTGCACTCCAGATTCTTCACCAGGGCTCCCGGGCACCGCGGCTTCTGCGATCGGCCGTCGGCATAGGTCACGTCGTGGCACCCTGCTGCAGCGACTCTGTTTTTCTTCATCTTCATGTCGATGATGGAGTTTTTGGGCTTCGTCAGGTTGTAGAGGAAGCTCGTGTAGCTGAGGCCGAATCCGAATGGGTAAACGGAAGGCCCATCGTAGAATTTGTAAGTCCGGCCGGGGAACCGGCCGGTCGGTCTCAGTGGCATCGACGTCATCGGCAACTTTTCGACGTAGTTTGCTGGATACCAAGTCAACGGCAATCTCCCTCCTGCAAAATTAGAGGTAACAAATTGAGCCGTTAGCTGTAGAATCAGAATGCGCTGCTTGCTTGATTTGATGGATCTGTAGTTCTGTACATTACCGGGATTGTACCGGCCGAAGATGACGTCAGCAATGGCGGTCCCGCCGCCTTCCCCTGGATACCCAGCCCACAAGATGGCTTTGATATTGGGATCGTTCTTGGCGAACGAGACATCCACGCCGCCGGCGCACATTATCACGAGAATCACCGGCCCTTTGGAGACTCTGGCGATTTGTGAAATGAGCTCTGTTTGGTACCCGGGAAGCAGGAGATCGTTCCTGTCCAGCCCTTCCGTCTCGACGGAGACGTCGATTCCGGCGACGATCACCGTCGCGTCGGTCGCTCTGGCTGTCTTCCTTGCGTGGGCGATCATGGTCTTGTCCGGGCATCGGACGCCGGCGCATCCAGGGGAGTATCTGACTTTGGCGTACGAGGAGAGCCCCGAAACAGGGGAGACGTAGCGGCAGGGGAATCCCGGCCGGTTGGGGTCGAACGCGTAGTTGCCGATCATGGCGAGCGTGGCGTTCGCGTGCGGGCCCACGACGGCGAGGGTCTTCGTCTTGCCGGCGGCGAGAGGCAGAGTGTGTTGGTCGTTTCGGAGGAGGACGATGCCCTGCCTCGCCGCTTCGGCGGCGAGTTGGGTGTTTTCCGGCGTGCAGATGTGCTGTTTGCCCAAGTGGCTGTATTCCGGCGAGCCGTCGAAGTAGCCGAGGCGCATGAGGACGACGTAGAGGGATTTGAGGGAGGCGTCGATGAGGTTGGCGCCGACTTTGCCTTGATGCACTGCTTGGCCAACGTATTTGGGGAAGTAGTTCCCACAGTCCAAATTCAGGCCTGTGAAACGAGAGGTTGAAATTTTTTAGTTGATTTCTGGGTGAAGTGAAATTGCAGAAACTGAAGTAGAAAAATGCAGTGAAAAAGAGTCGATCAAGTAAACCTGCTTTCAGTGTTTGTGCTATTGCATCTTCTGGAGTATCATTTAAGTATTTATGATGCTCAACGATGTTCTTGACTGCGTCACAATCCGATACTATATACCTGGGAAAACATAACAAAATATACCAATGTTAATCATCAACTTAACGCTTCGTTGACAAATCACAAATCTTCTGTACATAGATAGATACCCATTGAGTTTCCATCGGCCTCTGATTGTCTCGTTCAGAAGTTTAGGATCGGCACAAGTGGGAATTCCGTTCACCCGATTATACGAGCACATTACACTGCTCACGTCCCCGTCTTTCACGCACATCTCGAATGGTCGAACAAATGTTTCCACCATATCCTGCTCTCTCACCTTCACAAACATAATTTGTATAGATCTTTTTAACGCTATCATATGATTAGTTACCAACTATGTTATAATCACCTAAAAACGAAAAACTTTCAAACTTTAAAGCGCAATTTGGAACTTAAGAATTGTACATTTCTTTCAGAAACGTACCCTGGCATCAAAACGGTAACGACTTTTTCCATGCCAATGATCCATATCATAAGCGGCGTAGTGCTTGCAGCAAGCCGCCACTTTCAAAGGCCTGGAATCCGAACCTTTCCCGGATTTCTCCACCTCCCCACATTCACTGATCACATCCTGCAACCCTCGCACGTACGTGGCCGCATACGTGCCGACGACGAATGGATCCTCGCCAGGTGTCTCCATTGTTCGGCCCCACCTCGGATCCCGGGCCACGTTCATCGTCGGGCTCCAGAACGTCAGCCCGGCCCGGCCCAAATTGTACATGGCCCTCGCCTCCGTCGACACGGCCTGTCCCAACCCCAAGATCCACAAAATTGTTATTATTATCCAGTTAAATCAAGAAAATAAAATAAAAAACATTATTTTATGAATTTACCTGACCAATGGCTTTCCAGAGCGTTGCGTTAAACGACGCCGCGGTGACGATGACGGTGGGGAAGCTCGTGGCGCTGGGGACCACGCCGTCGAAAAACACCCCCGGGCCCACATTGGAGACGCCGTGGAGCGCCTCCGACCACCACTCGTACGGCGGGAGGCCCAGGCGCGTCACGCCACGCGCATTGTCGCCGAGCTGCTGCGTCTTCTCCTCCAGCGTCATCCGCGCGACCAGATCCTCCGCCCTCACGTCGTACGGCAGCGAGCGGTCGCAGAACGCCAGGCCGGCGGCCTTGTCGGAGCCGCAGACGTGGGAGAAGCGTTTCGCCGGCGCGTGAGGCAGATTCTCGAGACCACGTCGAGCGACATTGGTGGTAGTGTGGCTGCGATGATCGGTGGTGGAGAGGAGGAGGAGGAGGAAGACGGTGAACGCCGCGGCGACGGAGATGCAGAGTATTATGATGGACGATTGAGCCATTACGTAAAATGTAATTAGCGACTGTGGCGGTGCTTACTAATTGGTAATTAAGGTGGCTGTGTTTGAGAGTGAGTTAGTTGGGGGGTAGATGGATTGATTAATTATGTTAAGCATCTAATTAGTGAGGTGATAGTGATTAGAGGAGAGATATTTCTATTTCTTCTTTCCATTTTGTTTTGAGTAGAGAATGAGTCGGAGAATTTGGAGGAGAGCTGAGTTTAGGGCAGAGTTGTTGTAATTAACTCGGTTTAGAAAGTGAGTACAGCTGTCTGTGTTGTCTCCATGCATGAAATTAGAAGAAGTCGGAACCGGCCTCCTCCCTCCTCGGCCTCGCTTTCAGGATCAGGAGAACAATCATATGAATAACTAATAGTAATAAGTCTATTAACTTGGTTACTTCAAATCATTTAGGTTGGGGTATAATTTCATATAGTAACGAGTACCGATTTAATAAACAGATTTTAGTGACAAACGTGAATGTGAATCAAAATGATAATTTCAATGATGAAATGTGTTATTTAGCCATTAAGCTTTTGTATAGGGTTTTTGTTTCTTCTAGTTTCAAAAGTCATTTAGCCAACAAGCTTCGCTGAGGATTCCATTGTTCTATCGGCCGTTGTTGGAATACTTACACATTTGCATTTCAACAACCATATATGGTTACGAGTTTTGTACTCGGGAATCGGGAGGATGAGCTGTGTGTTCTTTTTGTATCTTAGCCTCCTAACATAGGTAGGAGGGCGACCATCTTTAAGGTGAGTTTGGTCATAACTCATAATCAACAATAATGAGTCGAACAATAAATTGATTTATAATTTTAACCTTCTTATGTTAGTAGACTATCAATTCAATGATAAATTTGTCCCCTAATAGAAAAACAGCGTATACTATGCTCCCATCACAATAACAGAAGAAAAGAAACAGCAACTGAGTTTGCCATTGGATACTGTATCCACTATCCACAACACAACCCCTGCAGATAGGGCTGAAAATTTGTCTGTCCCATCCATGTGCCGTCCCTGTCTGACCCGTCCCTGAAGGGTCAAGATGTATAACCGTCCCGTCCCGTCCCGTCCCTATCTCCTTCTTGACCCTGTCTGACCCTCAAGGGTTGGGATGGGACGGGCCGGGTCAGTGGGTCGACCCTAACCAACATACTACTTTTTTACAAATTACGTTTTGGTACCCAAAATTATTTTTTTTTACAATTTAGTACCTAAATTTTATTTTTTTTTACAAATAAGTCCATAAATTTTGATGGTAAAATTACATTTTGGTACCCAAATTTTTTTATTTTTACAAATTAGTACCTAAACTTTTAAAACTTTACAAAAAGGTCCAATGAAGTATGAGATATTTGTTGTTGCTAAGGGTCACAGGGTCAAAACGTGACCCGTCCCTAAGTTGTCTCGACCCGTCCCGGCCCTTACAGGGTCAACAAATGACCCGTCCCTAATCTGTCCCTGTAGACAAACTGACCCGTCCCGACCCTTAAAGACGGGACGGGTCAGTGGGTCTTCAGGGACAAGCTTTCACCCCTACCTGCAGAGACAGAAATAAAGGGCTAACTCAACCCTTGAGAAAAAGAAAAAAAAAATTCATATCAGACTGAGCAGAAGCAAAGAAGTCACGCCAATTTCAGTTACACCATCATCTATCTGAGGATTTTTGCTTCAAAAGAATCATAACAAGCATCCGTAAGCATTATAGAAAATGCTAGCAGCTGAATGTCAGGTTAAGCTAGGTTGGATCATCCAGGATAACGAGACTAGGAAGGAAGGAAGGAGGGAGAAACAAGAAAGAGGTGAAAATAAATGTTAAAGCCTTCTGTTATTTACATACAGAAGTCAGAAGCAATGGTTGGCCGGCAAAACCTTAGGGTTAATCTTCCCCTCATCTCCTTTCGTTCCCGTTCTTTGGTTGTCAACATCAATGGAACTTCACCGTTCAAACTTTCATAGAACAATTCACCAGTTCCGGTCACCAAGACAGTTCAGTAGTCCTTCCCCCCTCCGACTATATTGGACTGGCTCTTGATACCTGCACTCGAAAACCAACAGTTATCCCATCCGTCTGCCCTGGTTTAACAGTTCTCATCTCAAGTAACCATATCCTTCCTATTTGTATCAGGCAAATTTTGGCGTGGAAGAAGACACGTTAAGACAAGAACTAAATACATTCTTCTTGGAAGGCAAACCAAACACCAAGCAGTACATGCACGGGCAGAAGTTGATTTATCCATCTTTTCTGGCTGTGATAAAGGGTCGTTTGATTCAGCGAAATGTCGATGCACTTCTCTTTTCAGTTCTCTCACCAGGAAGACTCTTTTAACTTATCAAAAGTACACAGCGATAGAGAGGGAGAGGGACCAGACTGGATGGGAACTCGATTCAGTCCAAGAATTTGTGATCTGATGAGGAGGACGAACTTTTTGATCCAGACAATCTCTGTCTTGCTTCAGGAGAAAGTATTGCTTGCTTTTCACCCCGCTGGCAAATCAATCAACATTTCGGTATCATGCATCATCCATGGGCTTTACTTTCACTAGCACAGGGTTTGGAAGAAGGAAAAGAAATTGACAGCTCAAGCAAATTAGTCAGACTTTGTCTAACAAAAATAAAGCGTCACCCTCAAGCACACACAATAGTTGTTGTTGTCGTGAATATATATAACCCTAAGGGCCACAGCTACCACATGTATAAACAACTTGTAGGCATGCTAGTTAAGTGCATACAGAGAATGCAAACCTGGTTCTGCAAGCTTGCTGAGGTAGTCCATCGCTGAGGATTGTGCGTCACTCCGGCACTATCACTAACAAAAGTAATTGTCATTGATTCTTCAGGTACGTTAGACACTAAAGGTGGTGGTAGTTCTCTCATTATCCACAGCAGAAATGCTGAGGGTACAGAAGAACCTGTGAAATAACCATAATTACCCAAGAATACTAAGTCAATTCATTTCAGAGATACGCCATTTCAGAAATAATTATCAATCAAATCAACCATTGCCATATATAAGATCAATGCCAAATGATTGAGGGACAAAAAAATACCTATGAAATAGTATAGAATCAATAAAACAGAAGTAAGAAGACCATTTCCGTCAAGTTGCTGCCAGTTGTAACGAACCTGCCATAAACATACATTGTAAGGCTAGAGAAAAATGAGATTCCCTGACCCTAAGTTCAATAATGCAACTCAAAGCTTGAGGAAGAAGGAAGTCATACTGGAATATTAGCCAAAAAAGCAACAAGAGCACTGGTGGTGAAACATATAACAGCTACAACTGCCAAGCCTGCTACCTGCACACACATGGAACAATATATCATGTGGGAGCAACATAATATCAAGTTATAATTGAGAAAACCATGGTGGCAGGACATATGTCCTCGTCACATGCAGATAGGGTGAACAGAACTGCTTCACCATGCAAACTTTGGTAGGTGAAAAAGCTACAAATGAGGATACCTTCCATATGTCCGAGGCAGCTCTCTCTGATCTCACTCGCCTCATTTTCAGGTACAGTATAAGGCCTGTACATAACACAGATGAGAAAGCAAGTTTTGCAGACCAAGGGCAACTAGAGTAGACAAAACCTTTAGCCACCACCATATCCCCAAAAATGTAACCACAAAACAATAACCATTTCATAAGTCAGGCACAAGCCTACCGGCTTCCTTTACCATGCTTCAACCGTCGAAACTATCTTGTATGGAAACTTCCCAGCGACCAGAATATCTATTAAGTTATACTCGTGTCATCGTTAAGGATACTAAATAACTACAGTGAGTTCACAAATTACCCAGACCCATAAAGTTCACCTGTGAGAGTGAAATCAAACAACAATAACTTTAGGTAAGTGTTCTTTTGAAGCTTCCTAGTTTCTACCATGTCATCACTTGTGTTGTGTATGAATAGTGAAACTGTGAAAGTATGAAGACCCCCTACCAGCACCCGTTCTCTGGAATTCACTCATAACTTCACATAACCTCAAAACTATTGCACTTGCATTCCAAATAAGGTTTCCTTTTCTAAGACCAGCAAATGTGTTGTAGAAAATAGGACATACAATGACGTCCAGGAGGTTCCATGGCATGTCGAGTAATGTGTGATAAAATAAAAGCAGACCTCCAGAAAATCTAACTTAATCAGCGATGTGTTTTAAGCTCAAACCAGAAACTATTAAAGCAAAGCAGGTCAAATGATATCATCCCATGACAGAACCACAAAGTAATTGAACAATAAAGCTCAAAAAACAAAGCAAAGGGATAGTCACTTACCGTAACAAGCCAACGCTCCACCTAGCAATAGCATTACCACGTCAGCTATATCTTCATAGACCTACAAGAGATAAAAATAATCCACACAATTCAACTATTTCATCAACATACATATAAAAGATAAAGTTAAAGTCGTATAAGTGAAACCACATAAAGTCGTATTGCAGTTCACTCATACGTCCCCTAAATTCAACCACTTTCACCATCAACTAATATAGTTGCTATATAGGCAATCATGCTTAATCTAAGCTTTGCACCGTTCATCAAAAGAACCACTCTTGGGGGAGCCTACAGACAGAATGGATACTATATAAGATCAATGTTCAATTTCTCCAGAAGTAGTCTCAATCCAGGCATTAAATAAAGATTTGAACAGCATCCCAAAGTGCTTTATCTAGACAAACTAATAGGGATAAATGGAAGAAGCAGAAAGGAAATCCAATAAAAAAAGCAGTGCGAAAAGTAAAAAAATTCAAAGGGTCATACCATGGCCAATAATGATGAATGAGTAAAGCCATTGCTCATGTCAATCCAGAATAATGCCACACATGTCATTGTTGAAACAAATGCAAGAACAATGACCTGGTAAGGAGAAACCAGATATTATATTAGAAATATGTTCCATTTTTCACAAGCCTGGAGTGGAATTTACATGGCAATGAATTATACCAGCTAAAAAAAACTTTTGTACCAAAATTACAACTCTTTGACGACTTCCAACACGGATCGAGCGAAATGGTAAACATGCTCTCTGAGATTCTCCGTGCATTGAGCCTGAGTGCTCTGGTGGCATTTCCAACAAAGGTTCATAGAAACTGAAGTCTTCCTCCTCATAATCCTCATCATCAGCCTGATGACAAAGGTCCACCCTAAAATATCACCAATGAGAAATATTAGAATGCTCTGACAAGAGAATTGCCAATCTAAAGATGCACAGAACCTGGTTCGACAACGTCACATCATAGATATTCGAGATAAGCATAATCATTACAATAAAGAAGTTCATATCAATCCCAGTTCCCAAACATCCCACAAAACTCCTACAATCATCAAGGTGGCTATTCGCTAAAACGACATGAATTTGGAAATGCTGAAACAGAACCAAGAAAATGGTATTAGACTCAACCACAATTCACCTGCATCAAAAATTTTGTCATGTCATCCTAGACCCAGCTAAGCATTAAACGATTTGGGCACTTGTATTATCGTGATATCGTCGAGAAAATTAGAATCCAAATCTGTCAGGCTGAACTTGCAAGGTTTTCAAAAATATGACTCGCATCTGTCAAGTCCAGAAGGGAAAAGGAGAATCTACATTTTCCATTTTTCAGCCATTCAACTACAGATAATAAGTGTCACTAAGACAATAGGAATAAGTATAACATACCAGAAGGACAAAAGCAGAAGAAATGCCGCAAAAAACAAAATCTTGGAGAAGGCTGCGAACCAAATAAAACACAGAATATCATTCCTTATAACATACTATGACCCTAATCCCACAATGCTCATTGTATTGAGGCAGAAAAAAACTAAGGAAAAAAAAATACCCATGAGGATAAAACCACAGGCGTATGACCAGCATAGCCATTTGTTATGGTAGGCTATGGGACTTGTTGCGAAATAAAGAAAGTATCCTGGCAAAAATAGAGAGAAGGTATCCAGATTAATGCAACTTGAGGTGAATAGCACAACATGCACATGAGTATCCTCAATGATATTAGGGACTTGCCATACACATCACTGAAGAAATTTTTAACGGAATTTTAATTGACAACTTACCAAGATTAGAAGAACCAACCAGTACATGAAACACCTGTAATTGCCCAAAAGTTTTACCACGTAAATGTCATTGTAATTAATTGCAGCAGAAATAACATAAATGAAATAACAAATAAGTCATGATCGTTTGAGTTGCGCACATAATTATGCAGACTTATGGGCAATGGACATGATTGCAGCATTAATCGGAATGGAAAATGAAAAAAAAAAAAGTTAGCATGAGAAAAGAAGCCACAATTCAAAACTGAGTTTCAATATAATAGGTATCACGTAGAAGCCATTTTACGTCATGTAGTTCTGAGTTTCCTTATGAATACATAAAACCATGCAGGAAATCAATGGAGAGGATGCCCAGTTCAAGGATATCAAAAGCAAACTGAAAATTGGATATGCGTTTGAATTACACATATGGTCGGTAGCTCACGTAAGACCGATCAGAAGAAGAAAAGTTATGTACTTATGTTGACAGCTAAGTCAGATAATTCATCAGACTTCTCGCATCCAAATATTCATCTCCTCTTACACTTAAAATTTTAAACAACAAGTTGACTCCAATTCAGCCAACTTTTCCAACAAAGTATTTTACTCAACCCTCAGCTAAGTGAAACATAAAGGTACCCAAGTTATCATATAGGATGGCAAAAGAATACAGGAGTTACCTTTTGCCGGGTCCATCCAAGTCGTACATTCCTTGAGTGAATTCTTATCAGCTGGAGAGAAAAAAAAACGAGCATCCATTAACAGTCGAACAAAGCCATTCCATAACAAATTCCATGAGACTGTATCCTGGTGCTCCTCTCATAGGACAGAATGTGAACAGATTAGCCGCACGGTTCAACACATTGATCATCAATTGGACACTCCTGAACCAAACAAGATAACAGAAAGGCTAGGCCCTAAGGACCCGTGCAACTGAATTCCCATAATGTAAGTAATATCCGGCCATATAGATAGCAGCTGTTGCATCAAGATGACCTCAGGATTCTCCGGAATCATCATGATAACAATTATGTTCCTAGCAGCAACTAAAAACAGATTCTGGGCCATTTAAGACAACGACATTTCAAACCCATGGAGACAACAGGCTAGACTCCTGCATGTATGCCAATTCTACGCATCAATACCCCGACATTCGCATCAAAAAGCACAACCCATAAAACTCCTACGAATTCAGAATATTCCAACTTGGGCACAGAGTTTTGAAGTACATTTCTTAGCCAATTGTCAAGCATAACCTCGACTCTTAACAACTGATAGACTTGGAGGCAGCAAACAAACACAACCATTTGGAAAAGACAAATAGAGGAGCGGGGTCAAGAAACAAAACCTGATAGAATGCAAGGAAGGCGAGAATGCAGTCGACAGAAGCAAGACCCACATTGACAGCCAACACTCCAGGATGGAAGCAACAGAAAGAAGACCTTTCTGTGGCCGCTCCAAACATCTCCGCCCTCTCTCTATATCTCTATCTCTACTCTTAGGGAACAAAAACAAAAAATGAGAAAACCCTTTCAACTATCCCTGGCAAAGAGGAGAGGACTTACAGAAGGGGCAGAGAAAAAGGGAGGGAACGAACGAGAGAAATGGGAATCAATCTACAGAAAGGCGGAGGAGCAATTGGGTTGTGCTGTGTATTGGTTTTACCAGTATACGGACAGCAGAAGGTGGGATCTTCTCAGAGGTATCTTTTCATGGAAGATCTGCTCTCCCTCTTAACACTCTGATTTTACGCTTTTCTCTGGGGATTTTCTTCCCTTTTCTCGCCTGATTCTAATAGAGAGAGAGTTTCACTACTCGGCTCTCGTTCTCGCTGTGCCCTTCCACCCTTTACAATTTTCCGTGAAGATTTATTATGCGATGACCAAGACCGAGAGAGACCAATAGATTTCCCTTTCTCAAAAAGTTGAAGAAAATCCGATTTGAATATACTTGGAGGTTTATTTTTCGCCTAGCAATCGGGCTAAGATCAGGTGATTAAGGGGTCCCATAGTTATGTGATTAAGTGAATCTCAGCCCTTTTACCTCATTAAAATCCAATGGTCCTGATTAATCCAATGTAATGAAGGGCAATGTAGTAGTTTAATTTTTATTTACCAATTAAAATAAATAAAAATTCAACCCCGATCCTTTCCCTTCTTCGCGCGGCCTGCGTTTTTTTCCCCAGAGACTCCCGAACCTTCCCGCCGGCCGATCCTTCACTCCTGTGGCGTGTAATTCGCCGGCGGCCCATTTTTCCCGGGACGGCGCCATAATTTCCCACGGCGCCATAATTCCCCTTCCTTTGAGAATATATCCAGAGAGAGAGAGAGAGATTCTGGTCGGAAAATTTTCTGACCGGAATTTTTTTTTCCAGCGACCATCGTGGACGGAGAAGAATTTTCCGGCGAGAGTGCCAATTTTGTGATGTTTATTGACATATTTTGTAATGTTTGTACGCTTTGTTATTTTGTAATGTTCGTAAACTTTGTTATTTTTGTGCACCATGTTTGTCATTTTTGTCCACCATGTTCGTACTGTTTGTATGTCTAAAAAACACCCGGGTTGACTTTGGGAAGGAGCCCCTCTATATAGAGATGGAGCCTCCAAAGTCAACCCGGGAGTTTTTTCCCGTTCGTATGGATTGTCGGTCTAGTTTGTCATTTTTGTCCACCATGTTCGTACTGTTTGTATGTCTAAAAAAACACCCGAGTTGACTTTGGGAAGGAGCCCCTCTATATAGGAATGGAGCCTCAAAAGTCAACCCGGTTGTTTTTTCTTTTTGTTGTATTGTTTGTCGGTCTAGTTTGTATTGTTTGTACAGTTCATACGTTTGTAATGTTTGTAAATCTGTTTGTATGTTTTGTCGCTCTAGTTTGTACTGTTCGTATGTTTGTATGGTTTGTACTGATTGTAAATCCGGTTTGTATACTTCATAATTTTTCATAATACCCAAACTACCCCTGTCCTTAATTAAATAGCCCTTCCCACTTTTTAACCATTGGATTGAAGTGTCCAGATCTAATGGCTAGTAGGGGCTTAGTCAAGTGACTAAGCACCCCCCCTTAGTCACCAGATCCGCACTCCTAGCAATCTGCGTAATTTTACGGGCAAAATTTTGGAGGGTATTTCCGTAATTGGGCAATTTTTCAGATGGGCATTTTCCTTGCGATTTTGAACGCCGTTGATCATAGATTCGGCATTAGGTTATTTTTTATTGATCATTAAGTCTATTAAACATCAATTTGGACAAATTATTGTGGGACTATTTTTTACAGATTTCTAAGGCATTAAAAATTTTGGGTGATTTTTTTTGAAATGTTATTTTTCTTGGATTTTTAAGGTTGCATATCACAGATGAATTCTGCCTGAGGCTATTCTTTACCGATGATTAAATCTACTAAGTACCGATTTGGACTGATTTTTTCTGGGGGCATTTTCGTAATTTTATGGAAGATTTTTTTAGAGACCATTTAACTTGCGATTTTGAAGACTACATATCACGGATTCGGTCTTAGACAATTCTTCACCGATGATTAAATCTATTAACCACCGATTTGTGTAAATTTTTTTCGTGACCATTTTAGGCAGATTTCAAAGGGGTCCCATCACACAGGTTTCAGGCGATTTTTCGAAATGTCATTTTCCTTGGTTTTGAAGGATACAGATCACAGATTCAGCCTGAGTCTATTCTCCACCAATGATAAAGTACATTAATTCTCCGATTTGGGCGGAATTTTCCGTATGACATTTTCTTAATTTTCGAGCAATTTTTTGGAAGGTCATTTTCCTTACGATTTTGAAGGATGCAAATCACAGATTCAGCCTTAGGCTATTCTTCACTGATAATTAAGTATAGTAAGTATCGGTTTGAGTGAATTTTTTTTGGCGCCATTTTAGGCAGCTTTCAAAGGGGTACCATCACTGATTTCGGGTGATTTTTTCGGAAGGTCGTTTTCTTTTGACTTAGAAGGCTACAGATCACGGATTCGGTCTCATGCTATTCTCCACAAATGATAAAGTCTATTAATCGCCGATTATGGGCAGATTTTTTTCGGAGGCATTTTCGTAATTTTATCGGCGATTTTTTAGAGCCATTTTACGTGCCATTTTGAAGGCTACATATCACAAATTCACTAATGATTAAGTCTAATAAGCACCGATTTGGGCGGATTTTTCCGGGGCCATTTTTGATAGATTCCAAAGGGGTATAATCTTAGATTTCGATAGATTTTTTTTTTAAAGGTCATTTTCCTTGAATTTTGAAGGCTACAGATCACGAATTCGACTTGAGGCTATTCTCCATAAATGATAAAATCTATTAATCGGCGATTTGGGCTGATTTTTCTGGAGGTCATTTTCGTGATTCTTGAGCGATTTTTCGAAAAGTCATTTTCTTTGGATGTTGAATGCAATAGATCACGGATTTGGCCTTAGGCTATTCTTCACCGATGATTAAGTGTATTAAGCATCGATTCGAGCGGATTTTTTTTCAGGGTTATTTTCCCGAGGTCATTTTTCCATGCTTTGTCGATGTGGGATTCCCCTAAGAGGTATCACACAATTTTCGGGTGATTTTTTTTTTCAAAATACCATTTTCCTTGGATATTGAAGGCTATTGATCACGGATTCGGCTTGAGTCTATTCTTCACCGATGATTAAGTTTACTAAGCAGCGATTTCGACTTATTTTTGTCGGGGCCATTTTTGACAGATTACAAAGGGGGTGGTACCAAGAATCCGCTAAGGTGAATACTAGTTGTTTAGTAACCATTGTGGCAACCTACATCTAAACCCTTAATTAGCTCTATTTTCCCTTTTTTTAAATAACAGTCAAGATTGTATTAAGGTAATTTCGGAATAAAAATATTAGCACACCAGATTATTACTTATATTTATAATTTACTAGATCCTTCTTCTACCCAAACCCTAAAACCATCTATCTCACTCTCTTCCCAGCGAGAAACTGCATCGCGTCGCGACTCTCCCTCTCCTCCCCTCACCCCTCCGGCGGCCCTCCCATGCCCCCGCTCGCCACTCTCCCTTCCCCACTCCACCCCCTCCCTCGCTTCTCACTTTCCTCGCCCCATCCACTGCCTTCCCCTCCCCACGTACTCCATCGCCGCTCCTCCCTTCTTCCTTCCCCACCCTACCCAGCGTCACCTCTCCCCCTCCCCACCACAACCAGCATGCCTTTCTCTCTCTCCTCTCTCTCTCTCACTAGAGAACAAGATGCATGTTTCTTTAATTGGTACGTTGTATTGATTTTTTTCGTAGTGGTAGTGTTTTTTTGCATTGGCATTGTTTTTCCGTATCGGTATTGATTATCATGTAAGCGTTTTTTGTTTTTTTTTTTTTTTTTTTTGTGAAATGATAGTGTTCTTTTCCTGTACTAGTAGAGTTTTTCGCATTAGTATTGATTATCATGTAATGGTATTGATTTGCATGTATTGGTATTGATTAAATCTGCAATGGTGGTGTTTTGTGAAATGGTAGTGTTTTTATTTCTCGGATAGTATTGGTGTTTTGAGCATTGGTAGTGTTTTTTTAATGGATTGGTATTGTTTTATTGTTGCAGCGGTATTAGTTCGAATGAACAAAAATAAGGAAAAGATTAAGAAAAAGAAGGAAGAAAGATCTGGCTGGAGATTGTGGAAGTGAGAGAAATAGAGAGGAAATTGTAATTAATATATTTTTGTAACTTCCTAAAATATAATTTGTTAAAAAAAGGTAATTAATAAATTTTTTCCCATACTCAATTTGCCCTTAGTAATCACAATGATTACTATTTTATAGTAATCACCGTAACCTGTTCCGGTGGTACCGTGGTATCATAAAAAATTTCAGTTGATTTTTCTGAAAGACCATTTTCCTTGGATTTTGAAGGTTACATATCACGAATTCGTCCTGAGTATATTATCCACCAATGATAAAGTCTATAATCGTCGAATTAGGCATATTTATTAGGGCATTTTTGTAATTTTTTGTCCGATTTTTCTAAAGGCTATTATCCTCGGATGTTGAAGGCAACAAATCATGGATTCGGCATTAGACTATTTTTCACTGATGATTAAGTTTATGAAGCACCAATTTGGGCTGATTTTTTCTCAGCCCATTTTTGACAAATTCCAAAGGACTGAAGGAGTACCATCATGGATTTTAGGCGATATTTTTGAAATACCATTTTCCTTGGATTTTGAATGCTACAGATAATAGATTCGAACCGAGGCTATTCTCCACCAATGATAATGTCTATTAATTGTCGATTTGGGGGAATTGTTATCAGATGGCATTTTCGTAATTTTTGGGTGATTTTTCGAAAGGAAATTTTCCTTGGATTTTGAAGGCTACAGATCACGGATTCTACCTTAGTCTATTCTTAACTGATGATTAAGACTATTAAGCATCGATTTGGGAGGATTTTTCAGGGGAAATTTTTGGCTGATTCCAAAGGGGTACCATCACAGATTTAGACAAATTTTTTGAAAGATCATTTTCCTTGAATTTTTAAGGCTTCTAAATTCCTAATCACGGATTCGCCCTGTGGCTATTCTTCACCGATGATTAAGCCTAATAAGCACCGATTTGGGCAAAAAAGTTTTGGGGCCATTTTTGGCAGATCCCATAGGGAACAATCACACATTACAGACGATTTTTTTCGAAAGACCATTTTCCATGGATTTTTTTAAAAGGCAATTTCAGATCACGAATTCGGCATGAGTCTATTATCTACCAATAATAAAGTCTATTAATTCTCTGATTTGGCCGGAGTTTTTCTGGAGGGCATTTCGTAATTTTATTGGCAATTTTTGGAAAAGCCATTTTCTTGTGATTTTAACGGCTACGGATCACGGATTCAGACTTAGGCTATTATTCACTGATGATTAGGTCTATTAAGCACTGATTTGGGAAGATTTTTCCCGGGGTCATTTTTGGCAGATTCCATAGGGGTACCA